GGCACGAGCCTGCAATTCCAGCTAGTCTGGAGACAGAGGCAGAATGATCCCTGAGCCCAGGGACTCAAGGCTGTGGTAAGCCTTGATTGTGTAGGTGCACTCCATGCTGGGAGACAAAAAGAGATTTAAAAAAATCAGAAAACAAAGAAAAGCTTTAGAAAACCTCCTTGGTATTGGCCTTGGCAATGATTTTGTTGACAGGATACTGAAAGTATACCAACAAAAGCAAATATAGACAAGTTGGACTACATCAAACCAAAAAGCTTCTGCACAATAAAGAAAACAATAAAAAGGCTTACACAATAAGAGAAAATATTTGCAAACCATATTATCTGATAAGAGGTTAATATCCAAAATATACAAGGAAGTCATGCAAATCAAAGGCAGAAACAATTCAATGATAATCACTTGATTGAAAATTAGGCCAAGAATTAGTAATTATTTTTCCAGTGAAGATATACAAGTGACAACAAGTTTATAAATGGTGGTCAATAATACCTATCACCAGGCTATCACAAATCAACACAATGATGAGATATCATCTCACATCTTTTCAGATAACTAATATCAACAAGAAGAGAGGTAAATGTAGACAAGGATGTGAAGACAAAGAAATGTTTACATTGTTGGTGAGGTTTAAATTATAAAAATCATTCTGGGCTGGGCGTAGTGACTCCAACGTGTAATTCCAGCACTTTGGGAGGCTGAGGCGAGAGGACTGCCTGAGCTCAGGGGTTCAAGACCAGCCTGGGTAACTTGGTGAGACGTGGTCTCTACAATAAATTAAAAAATAAGCCGGGTGAGATAGCGCATGCCTGTAGCTCCGGTTACTTGGAAAGCTGAGGCACAAGGATCACCGCAGCCCAGCAGGTCGACACTGGGGTGACCATGAGTGTGCCAATGCACTCCAGCCTGGGTGAGGGAGTAAAACTCAACTCAAAAACAAAACAAACTACCATAAAAACTACCAATCTCCTTTCTGTGTATATAAGCAAAGGAAATAAAATCAGTATTTCAAAGTATCTACACCTTCACTTATTTTTTTTGAATCAGTCTCACTCTGTCGCCCATGCTGGAGTGCATATATATATATACCATATTTTTAATCCATTTAGATGGTTTTCATATCTTTGCCATTGTGTGTGTGTGTGTATATATATATACACACACACATATATACACACATATATATACATACACACATATACACAATAGACTATTATCCAGCCATAAAAAAAACACAGAATCCTGCCATTTCTTTTTTTTTTTTCTTTTTTGAGTTGGAGTCTCACTCTGTCGCCCAGACCAAGGTGGCATGCTCCCAGTCACCACAGCCTCAGGCAGATCGATCCTTCCACCTCAACCTTCCAAGTAAGTGGAACTACAGGTGTGCGTTAACACACCTGGTTAATTTTTTATTTTTTATTTATTGTAGAGATGATGTCTTGCCAACTTGCCCTGGTGGGTCTCGAACCTGTGGGCTCAGGCAATCCACTCATTTCAGCCTCCCAAAGTGCTGGGATTACAGGCTGAGCCACCAAGCCTGGCCAAATCCTGCCATTTCAACATCACAGACAAAACTGTTAGACATTATGCTAAGTGAAATAAGCCAGGCAAACAAAGACAAATACTGCATGATCTCACTTATGTATGGAATTGAAAAAAGTTGCACTCAAGCGAAATGCAGGTGGCTCAAGCCTATAATCCAAGCACTGTGGGAGGCAGAGGCGAGAGGATTGCCTGAGCTCAGGGGTTTGAGACCAGCCTGAGCAACATGGCAAAACCCCGTCTCTACAATAAATCAAAAAATTAGCTGGGCATGGTGGCATGTGCCAGTAGTTCCAGCTACTTGGAAGGCTGAGGCAGAAGGATTATCTGAGCCAAGCAGGTCGAAGTTGCGGTGGCCATGAGCGTGTCACTGCACTCCAGCCTGGGCGACAGAGGGAGGCTCTAACTCAAAAAAAAAAGGTTTGCATTCATAGAAACACAGAGTACAACAATGGGGTCAGGGCCTGCAGGTGAGGAAAATGGGAGATGTTGTTCAAAGGGAACAAAATTTCAGTTATGATAAGTGAGTTTTAGGGATCTAATTTGTAACCTAGTGACTACAGTTAATAATGTCTGTATGTTTAAAAAATGTGCTAAAATAGAATACTTTGTGTCCTTATTACACAAAGCCCAAAATAAAAAGGTTAATTATGGAAAGTGATAGATATGTTAACTAACAAGACTGTAGCCATCATTTTATAATGTATAAACATATCAAATCATTACATCGTATAAAATAAATATATGGTTATACAATTTTTATTTGTGAAAAAATACACATTTTAGACACACACACACATAAACACATGTATTTGTGTGTGTGTGTGTGTGTGTGTGTGTGTGTGTGTGTGTGTGTGTGTGTGTATATATCACCCGGTCCTAAGCTTCACACTAAAAAGAAAATTGCAAAATAAAACTTAAGAAACAAGGCAACATGTGAGAGTTTAATATATGTTTACCAATGTTCTAAGCAATATAGTCTACTTAAGAATTTTGGTCAAATAGAGTTTAAACAACCAATCTCAGTTCATACTAAAAAATAAAATTTTTAAGTAAAATAGCATTAGTTTTCTTTATAGTTAAGAAGATGTCATGTGTTCTGATAAAATTATTGAGCATAAATTTATATGGAATCACATTTTCAACCTCCCTAAGATAGAAATTATAAAGCAGAAATCATATAACATCTGTCTATGGGCCGGGCTTGGTAGCTCAACCTGTAATCCCAGCACTTTAGGAGCCCACAGGTTCGAGACCCGCCTGGGTAACTTGGCGAGACCTCGTCTCTACAATAAATCAAAAACTAGCCAGGCGTGGTAGTGTGCGCCTGTAATTCCGGCAACTCAGAAGGCTGAGGCAGAAGGACCGCCAGAGCCCAGCATGTCAAGGCAGCGGTGGCTGGGAGCGTGCCACTGCACTCCAGCCTGGGCGACCGAGTGAGACTTCAACTCAAAAAAAAAAAAAAAATCTGTCTATGGTGTTCCTAGGATTTCTCAACCAAGTAACAAAATGACCACTACTCTCACAATTTCCAACGTGACACAAAAAGAAAACTTAAAAAATAGGCTAACATGGATTTTTCTAAATAAATTAGCAGATATTCGCATGTCCCCATACACAACAGAACAGCAGTCAGACCATGCAGTCCCTTATAATCTATTAACAGGACTTTGATTTCCACTGAACCTTGAAAGATCAGTGTGGGGGAAGTAGAGTTTCTGGAGAATTTCACACCAAGGAACAGATGCCCCTATGTGAGAACAAAAGAAAGAAACCCAGGCTTCCCAGAAACCATTTTCCTTGGAGCAAACCCCTTCCCAAACCACACTTCAGGCTCACCTTCCTCCTTGACATATGGCATGTGCTTCAGTCACTCCCACCTACCTGTGGGTTTCTCTAACATATTGTGTCTATTCACATTCCAGGGTTCTTTCCTTTGCTCCAGACACATGATCAGGTCCGGCTTAGAGACAGCAAGTCCTGTTTTAGTAGAAAAAAGTAACATGACTCTTGCGGAAATTTACCAATGACCATCCTAGCACTGTGCTCAATAGAGAACACGTTATATATGATTCCAAGGCCAGGCACAGTGGCTCACGCCTATAATCCCTGCATTTTGGGAGGCCGAGATGAAAGAACTGCCTGAGCCTGGGGGTTCAAGAGCAGCCTAGGCAACTTGGCGAGACCTTGCCTCTGTAATATACCAAAAAATTAGGCCAGGTTCAGAGGCTCAGCCTGTAATCCCAGCACTTTCGGAGGCTGAGGCGTGTGGATTGCCTGAGTCTGTGGGTTTGAGACCCACCCGGGCAACTTGATGGGACCTGTCTCTATAATAAATCAAAAATTAGCTGGGCGTGGTAGTGCGTGCCTGTAGTTCCGGCTACTTGGAAGGCTGAGGTGGAAGGATGGCTGGACTTCAGCAGGCTGAGGCTGCAGTGGCCGGGAGCGTGCCACTGTACTCCAGTCTGGGCAACAGAGTGAGACTCCAACTCAAAAAAAAAATTCCAGAAAATTAATCCCAAAATACTGTTTCCCAACAGAAATTTTAGAACATTTAGGAAGTATAAATATGTGAGTCTTTGGCTCTATTTCCCAATACTAGTAAATCAAAAATTAATGTCAGCAATGGGATTTTAAGGTGTGGGCAATGATACTGTATGCCATTAAATTTCTGGACTTACCACTAATAGAGTGAAGGATACAGAGTAGTTCAAAACAGAAAAAAGTTCATGTCAAAATGAAACATCTTTTTTCTTTTCTATGTCAACACATCACCAAGTTTGCCTTGAGAGGAGAAATCTAAAACTCATTTGTGCAAAGCAAAAGCTCCCCAAAGAAACTCAACAAAAAAACATAAAATCCTTAGCATAGAATAGGAATCGTGTGTTGAAATTCTTCTTACCCAGGGAAACCAGGTTTCTGTGGTTCTCTAACATTACATTTCTGTATAAAATCCGCTGAATGGGGTCCAGACATTCCCACTCCTCCGGAGAGAACTCTATGGCTACATCCCTAAATGTCAACAGCCCCTGGAAGAAACAACAACACATATTTACCAAATGGCCATGAGACGAATTCTTAATTTAACTCTAGGTGAAATGAGAGACTGAAAAGAATAGGCTCTAACTTATATGATGACTAGAATTATCCAAAAGATAATTTTTGTTTTTACTGAGTAGGAGTCTCACTCTGTCGCCCAGGCTGGAGTGCGGTAGCACGCTCACAGTCACCTCAGCCTCAACCTGCTGGGCTCAGGTGATCCTTTCGCCTCAGTCTTCCAAGGAGCTGGAGCTACAGGTATGTGCCACCATGCCCAGCTTTTTTTCTTTCTAGTTGGAATCTCACTGTCACCCTGGCTGGAATGCAGTGGCAACGCTCACAGCCACCAGCGTCAACCTGTTGAGCTCCAGGATCCTTCTGCCTCAGCCGTTCAAGTAGCTGGAACTACAGGCATATGCTACCACGCCTGGCTAATTTTTGATTTATAGTAGAGACAAGGTCTCCCCAAGTTGCCCGGACTGGTCTCGAACCCGTGGGCTCAGGTAATCCTCTCACCTCGGCCACCCAAAGTGCTGGGTTTATAGGTGTGAGCTACCGCATCCTGCCAAAAAGATAATTTTTAACACAGATATATTCTCTAATGTATTTGTTTTGTTTTGTTTTGTTTTGAGTTGGAGGCTCACTGTGTCACCCAGACTGGAGTGCAGCGGCACGCTCCCAGCGACCACAGCCTCGGCCTACTGGACTCAGGTCATCCTTCCACCTCAGCCTTCCAAGTAGCCGGAATTATAGGAGCACACTACCACACCTGACTAATTTTTGATTTATTGTAGAGATGAGGTCTCGCCAAGTTGCCCGGGTGGGTCTCGAACCCAAAGGCTCAGGCAATCCACTCTCCTCGGCCTCCCAAAGTGCTGGGATTATAGGCTGAGCCGCCGAGCCCGGCCTCTAATTTTTTTTTTTTTTTTTTGAGTTGGAGTCTCATTCCACTGCCCAGGCTGGAGTGTAATGGCACAATCACAGCCACCCCAGTGTCGATCTGCTGGGCTCCAGCAATCCTTCCACCTCAGCCTTCCAAGTAGCCGGAACTACAGGCGCATACTACCACACCCACTTAATTTTTTTTTTTTAATTGTAGAGACGAGGTCTTGCCAAGTTGCCCGAGCTGGTCTCGAACACACGGGCTCAGATAACCTACTTGCCTTGGCCTCCCAAAGTGCTGGGATTACAGGCTGAGCCACTAAGCCCAGTCTAAAATATATTCTTTAACTCTGAAGAAAAAGGATGAAATAAGGTTTACTCACCCAATACAGATACTATACTTTTGTTAATGATACCGTATAAAATTAAGACATCAACAAGGCATATACATTCTTTAGTGCTATATTTACACCACACAGGATAAGTTGTATATATTGGTCAGATGGAAAGTTCATAGTGAATTAGAAGGTTTTCCTCAAGTTTTAATGTGTACAGCAATAAACTGAATATTGTAAAATAAAGATTCTGATTCAGGAGATCTAGGGTAAAGCCTGCGTCTATGCATTTTTTTTTTTTTTTTTTGAGTTGGGGTCTCACTCTGTCACCCATGCTGGAGTGTAGTGGCACAATCATAGCTCACTGCACCTTGAATTCCTGGGCTGAAAGCCTCCTGAGTATCTGGGACAACTGTCATGGGCCATCGCACACAGCTAATTTTTTTATTTTTTAATTTTTATAGAGATGAGGTCTGGCCTGGCCGCGGTGGCTCACACCTATAATCCCAGCACTTTGGGAGGCCGAGGTGAGAGCATTGCCTGAGCCCATGGGTTTGGACCAGCCTAGGCAACTTGGCGAGACCTCATCTCTACAAAAAATAATTAGCCAGGCATGGTGGCACATGCCTGTAGTTCCAGCTACTTGGAAGGCTGAGGTGGAAGGATTGCCTGAGTCCAGCAGGTCGAGGCTGCGGAGGCCGTGAGCATGCCACTGCACTTCAGCCTGGGTGGAGTGAGACTTCGACTAAAAAAAAAAGAGATGAGGTCTGGCTATATTGCCTAGGTTGGTCTCAAACTCCCGAGTTCCACGGATCATCCTGCCTCAGCCTCCTAAAGTACTGGGATGATAGACATAAGCCACTGTGCCTGGCCTGACTTTCTGCATTTCTAAGAAGCTCACCAATGACACCAATGTTTCTGGCCCAAATAGAGTATTTTGTCAAACATCTACCAAGTGGAATAGTCTGGGTTTATCTCAGTTTATCAGACCAGTAAACAAAGATGAGAGCCTTCATTTTCCAAACCAGGCTATAGGCAAAGAGAATCTAAGAAGAAAAGAGCTTCCAGAAAAATATGATGAACTTAGGTAAATCTCCCCAAGGTATTTATTAATAATTTAAAAATTGATCGGGCTCGGTGGCTTAGCCTGTCAGGCCAGTACTTTGGGAGGCCGAGGTGAGTGGATTGCCTAAGCCCATCCGTTCGAGACCAGCCCGGGCAACTCTGTGAGACCTTATCTCTACAATAAATCAAAAATACAGCTGGGTGTAGTAGCACATGCCTGTAGTTCTGGCTACGTGGAAGGCTGAGGTGGAAGGATCGCCAGAGCCCAGCAGGTGAGTATCCCACCACACTCCAGCCTAGGTGACAGAGGGAAACTGACTCAAAATAATTTTTAAAATAATAATAATAAAATCAACTTTGTGAAAAAAATGTCAGCAGACACATTAACCAAGTAAATAAAACTTATATCAACTGTAATAGGTCAAATTGGTATCAGGTGCCAGGGCACACAGACAACACAACATCAGTTCTGTGATACTGGTGGCCAAAAAAATAGTAAATTATAACTTGAATCTAATAATAAAGACACATGTTTATACAGCATTCCAGCTACAGGTATTTTCCTGATTCTGTAATCTCTAATAGTGTATTTATATTGTCTTTTTTTAGTATCCTAGAGAGTAAGTCTCTCCTAATTAGTCTTTTTTTTTTGAGTTAGAGTCTCACTACGTCGCACAGACTGGAGTGCAGGGGCATGCTCCCGCTCACCGCAGCCTCAGCCCGCTGGGCTCCAGCGATCCTTCCACCTCAGCCTTCTAAGTAGCTGGAACTACAGGTGCACGCTACCATGCCCAGCTAATTTTTTATTTATTGTACAGATGAGGTCTCGCCAAGCTGCCTGGGCTGGTCTGGAACCCACGGGCTCAGGTCATCTACTCAAGGCCTCCCACTGAGCCACTGAGCCCGGCCCCTAATTAATCTTTATTCAGACCTTCCTGAGTTACTCTGGGCATAACTGCCATCCTACTTATATAAATTTTATTATTTCTGTTCTGCATGGAGTGGATGGAGCATCTAGAAAGAATCTTAATAGTAGTACATGCTCCCAGCCGGGCTCGGTGGCTCAGCCTGTAACCCCGCGCCTTTGGGAGGTTGAGGTGAGTGGATTGCCAGAGCCCGTGGGTTCGAGACCCGCCTGGGCAGGTGAGACCTCATCTCTACAATAAATCAAAAATCAGCCGGGTGTGGTAGCGTGCGCCTGTAATTCCGGCTACTCGGAAAGCTGAAGCAAAAGGATCGCCTCAGCCCAGCAGGTCGAGGCTGCGGTGGCCAGGAGCGGTCACTGCACTCCAGTCTGGGCGACAGAGTGAGATTCAAACTCAAAAAAAAAAAATAGTACATGCTCCCATTCTTCACTAGGATCTGAGAATCTATCCAATCTCCAGTGAAAATCTTGGGGATCCATGTCTTTCCATGTTCCACAGCCACAAGGGAACATGTTTAATACTTCAGATCGTAAGTTCATGATAACAATTGTTTATGGAATCTAAGAAGACTAGATGCAGAGAACAGAGAGAAGGTTTTGGTATGGAAGGGAGCTGTGTTTTCCAGAGCCACTGACTATCACAAGAAGAGAAAAACTAGTTGAAACAAACTAATTAGGCAGGAACACCCCAAGTAGAGAAGTAAAGGTTTGCAAGTTCTAAAAACATGACATTCCAGTAGGAAAAGTGGACACAGCCCCTGACCTGGGACACATTGACCTGGACACCAGCCATTTCTTCCACTTCCTCCTTCTTCTCTGGAATTTCTTTTCAGGTGAGATTATCTGGACAAGTCATGCCTACATGTTGAGAATACGCATTTATTTTTTTAATTAAATTTCATTACTTTAATATTTGAGTCAGAATTTTGCTCTGTTCTCAGGCAGGAGTGCAGTCACACCATCATGGCTTACCTCAGTCTCAACCTCCTGAGTTCAGGCAATTCTTCCATTTCAGTCACCCATGTAGCTGAAACTAGAGTTCTGCTACCACTCTCAGCATTTTTTTTTTTTGTAGCAACAAGATCTTGCTATGTTGTCAAAACTGGTTTCAAACTCTTGGACTCAAGCAATTCTCTCAGCTCATCCTCCCAAAGTGCTAGCACTACTGGCAAGAACCCCCAAGCCCACCAGAATATACGTTTAAAGACACGAGCGCAATCCTTCAGCTGCTTCCACCACAGCCCCAGACAGAAGGATCTAGAAGTGCAGAAAAAGTTCACTATTCTATGTCCTTTAACATAGGAGACAGATTCAGGAACAATAAGCTCCTACATGGAGACCAAGGTGTGAGACCAGCCTGGGCAACGCAGTCTGACCTTGTTTCTACAATAAATAAATTAGCTGGGCATGGTAGCATGCGCCTGTAGTTCCAGCTACTTGGAAGCCGGAGCCCAGCAAGTCAACACTGGGGTGGCCATGAGCATGTCAATGCACTCCAGCCTGGGTGACAGAGTGAGACCCCAACTCAAAAAAAAAAAGGCAAAAACAACGGAAAGGATAATCATAAAAACAGCAACACTTGTAACCATGAATGGTTCTACAGGCAGGGACAAAAACAACACATGGGAAGGCCCATATACAGGCTAATTCCTCTGGACATTTCTCATCTTTGTACCTACCACTGGTGCTGAATTCAACCATTTACTCATTTACAACAGATGGAAAGTTTCTGAACTGTAGGGACCTTCACCACTTCATCTAGAGGCCATGTGATAAGGAGATAATTAGTTTATCCATCAGTTTGATTCTCCAGCCCTCCTTCTTGTTCTTTATCCAAATACCAGGAAACTAAAGCAAATCCCATCTGGGTACCAACCCCAGTGCCAATTCATGGAGGGCCCATAGAGGATTATATGCTTGTTACTTAAACTCAGCAAAAAACAAATCATTTATTTAAAGTATTAACTTTGCTTCTTCAGATCACATCACTCAATCTACTCAGGCTTTCAACTAATAAAATCAACATGTTCCACTTAAATTATGGAATGAAATTCTTTTTTTTTTTTTTTGAGTTTGAGTTTCACTCTGTCGCCAGACTCGAGTGCAGTGACACGTTCCTGGCCACCACAGCCTCGACCTGATGGGCTCCAGTAATCCTTCCGTCTCAGCCTCCCAAGTAGCCGGAACTACAGGCACGTGCTACCACGCCCAGCTAGTTTTTGATTTATTGTAGAGATGGGGTCTGGCCAAGTTGCCCAGGCGGGTCTCAAACCCGCAGGCTCAGGCAATCCATTCACCTTAGCCTCCCAAAGTGCTGGGATTACATGCTGAGCCACCGAGCCCGGCCATGAAATTCTCAAATACTTGGACAAACTGGAACTATATAGCAGAAAGATTTTATAAACAAAAGGAAGCTGGACGCGGTGGCTCAAGCCTGTCATTCCAGCAGTTTGGGAGGCCAAGGCAAGAGAACTGCCTGAGCCCGGGGGGTTTAAGACCAGGCTGGGCTACTTGGTGAGACCTCATCTCTAAAATAAATTTTAAAAAATAGGCCACGTGTGTTACTGTGCACCTTTAGTTCCAGCTACTTGGAAGGCTGAGGCAGAAGGATCACCTGAGACCAGAAGGTTGAGGCTGCAGTGGCTGTGAGCATGCCACTGCACTACAGGTTGGGTGAGTGAGACTCCAACTCAAACAAAAAAAAAAAAGGGAGGCAGCTCAGGGAAGCAACCTGTTTCACCTACCACCCACAAGAAACTAAACCAGTAGGTTCATCATGTTCCTAAGCTTGGAGACTACTCTCACTGTGAGATGCAGCCTAGATTGGCTCATGCCTAGGTAGTGACTGAGGGAAACCTGAACAGCTGGGAATTTAATTCTGGTTCCTCCACACACTCTACTGTCCTCTCCTTACAGCGTAAGAATACTCTGTCCTCCAGGGTCTCAATTCTCACCAGAGACCAAACATTCGCCTGGAGTAGGTTTTTTTTTTTTGAGTTGGAGTCTCATTCTGTCACCCAGACTGGAGTGCAGTATCCGCTCCCGGCCACCGCAGCCTCGACCTGCTGGGCTCCGGCGATCCTTCCGCCTCAGCCTTCCAAGTAGCTGGAACTACAGGCGCGCGCTACCATGCCCGGCTAATTTTTGATTTATTGTAGAGATGAGGTGTCACCAAGTTGCCCAGGTGGGTCTCGAACCCGCAGGCTCAGGCAATCCAATCACCTCAGCCTCACAAGGCACAGGATTACAGGCTGAGCCACCGAGCCCTGCTCCTGGAGTAGTTTAAGATTGTGACCTTGTGATGTCTATTTTTTCTGACACCAAATGTGTGAACTCTGCTGTTGTGGATTTCTGTACCTCTGGGGTGTTTCCAAGTCTGTATTTTCTAAGCCTGCTCACCAGAGACTTGACTTTCAGAGATTGTATTATTTTAAGGTATATAAACCATTTAATTCCCTATTTCATAAAATATGATAAGAAGCAATTTTACCAAAAACACTCAGGGTTTTCTAAGACAATAACATTAGAAGATAAATTGTTATTTTTAACAAGGTAGGCTGGGTGTGATGGCTCACACCTATAATCCCAGCACTTTGGGAGGCCGAGGTGAGAGGACTGCACGAAGTTAGCACAGACCCCACAAGTTCAACACTGTCCCCACTGCAGATGACAGCTGCAAGCCCAGGCGCCATCTATGCTTCTAAGCAACCGCCTATAAATCAGGGGCTGCCGTAACCCCTCCTCCTGTCCAATAATTTGATGGAATATTCACAGAACCCAGCAAAATATTTTCCTAACGTTTACCAATATATGGTAAAGGATAGAACTCAGAAACAGTCAAGTGAAAGAGAGGTATGCGGCAAGGGACAGCGACAGGGGACACTGGGAGGGAAGAGAATTCTGGTAAATAGCTGTGATTAAAGAAAATCCATCCTTTGTGTTCTGAAAAAGCACCTTAATAAAAAGAAACCTCCTTCGCATTATGACTTAGGTGACATTCCCATTTTCCCCTGTCTCAAAGCCATTCACAGACTCGGCAAATTCCCATTTTCTGCCTCATCATGAATGAGGTGAACACTTTTTCTTCAGTAATTAGAACAAAATAGCTGTAAACCAAACTTTGCCAAAGTTTCCCTCCTTCCCCCAGGCCCCTGGACTCTGACCCACCCTTAGCCTGAGCCAACACACCCCCTCTTGTTGTCCCCCTAAGAACAGGCTGACTTCGGGGTGAAACATTCTCGGAACTGGGATCTGCTGGTGCCACCCTCCACCCTGCCCTTCCTCCTTCACCCTTTTTCTGATCTCCTTTGTTTCCCTCCGAGGAAGAAAGTCTATTTCTGCCTAAACCTTGAGATGCTTGATAAGCCTATGGCAGGTGTTTTCATCCCACTGCAACATTTTTTTTCTTTTACCATGAAGTTCTATTAATCCAAACTCAAATTAAAACAGCCCAGGACAATAACAATTGCACCTCCCAAAAAAGCATTATAGCCTTCATCATTTCCATCTCAATGATGGCCACATCTCCCTGCAGATTCACAGCTTCCCAGAACTCTGTAGCTTTTCTCACTATCAAGGGCTCCTTCCAGCTGGGCTCAGTGGCTCAGCCTGTAATCCCGCGCTTTGGGAGGCTGAGGTGAGTGGATTGCCTAAGCCCGCGGGTTCGAGACCCGCCTGGGCAACTTGGCGAGACCTCATCTCTACAATAAATAAAAATTTTGTAAAAATTAGCGGGGGGTGGTAGCATGCGCCTGTAGTTCCGGCTACTTGGAAGGCTGAGGTGGAAGGATCGCCAGAGACCAGCAGGTTGAGGCTGTGGTGGCCGGGAGCGGCCACTGCACTCCCGTCTGCATGACAGAGTGAGACTCCAACTAAAAAAAACAAAACAAAAAAAAGTGCTCCTTCCATGACTGCTGTAAACAGATGGGCGCACTTGCAGGGGAAGCTGCCCTGGAAGAACTACGTGGACCCTCATGACCTCCTTTGGCAGGATCAGGACTAACTCCAGCTTGGAATGTCTGTGTCCATGTGTCTGCTTCCCCGTTAGGTAATTCACTTAGTTTTATTTTTATTTTTATTTTTTTTTGAGTTGGAGTCTCACTCAGTCGCCCAGACTGGAGTGCAGTGGCCGCTCCCAGATACCGCAGCCTCAACCTGCTGGGTTCCAGTGATCCTTCTGCCTCAACCTTTCAAGTAGCCGGAACTACAGGCACATGCTACCACGCCCAGCTAGTTTTTGATTTATTGTAGAGATGAGGTCTCGTCAAGTTGCCCAGGCAGGTCTCGAACACATGGGCTCAGGTAATTCACTCACCTCAGCCTCCCAAAGCACGGGATTACAGGCTGAGCCACCAAGCCCAGCTAACACTTAGTTTTATTTTTATTTTTATTTTTATTTTTTTTTGAG